CGGGTAGGAGCTGCGTGGTAGGCCATGGGCCGGGACTCGCCTGGGGTTTTCCCCTCCCTACGCGTTTCTCTTGAGTTTCTTTGCACGCATGCAGTGGGGTTGGTTTTCTATGCAAATGCAGCACCATAAAGCAGAAAGCATTACACTTCTAAGTAACAAGTGGCTAGCAAGTACCTGTTCCTGAAAACAATAGTTTGCTTGCAACTTAATGATTTTTTTTTTACAGGCTGTGAGCTTAAAGCAGACAAGGAGTATCAGTTCAAGGTAGATGATGAAGAAAATGAGCATCAGTTATCTTTGAGAACGGCAAGTATTATCTACTTTTTAAGGTGCAAGCTTGAATTTTGTTTTTTGAGTAATAATATGCTACGTTATGAAAAGTGAGCTTTTGTAACATGTAAATTTGTTCCTTAAACATCTGTTCTGTCTGGCATTTGCAAGTGTTTTGAGTCAGTTTGCTAGATAACCTCTTATTAGGAACTGAACATCCCGTTTTACCTTGAAAATTCTCTATTGTTGTTTCATGGCTTATAGCAAGTGACACCAGGTTTTAAAAAAAAAGTTCTTTAAAAAAAATGAGTTCACAATAGGTCAGTAAATTTGCTAAAAGGGATGAGGGCAGGCCTATGTCTTCTGGTATCTCTGGTGCAACGGTTTAGATGCTGCAGGAGCAAAAGCAGGGATTGGATTTATATTTTTCACAGATGGGTGCGGACTGGGGAAACTTTACTTTGAAAACTTTTTCTTTGTGTTCCCCAAGCATTATAATACCAGTGCCTTTTTCCCCCAATCAGCAGCTAATGTTGCATCTAATTTGGAGGGGAAAAGGCTTTTATGTTCTGATACGTTTTTTGGTAGTGTTGTCCTCTTTTTAAGGATGTTATGGGAAACACTGTCTTTGATTCATACATTTAATCAGACAGAGCAGCTGCTCACTGAACAGGATACTCCTTGAAATCAAGGTGTGCATATTGAGAGTTCTTAAATATGTCCTTAGTTCTTTCTGCTGTCCCAGCAAGAAGGACACTGCACTTCTCTACTCTGGGCTAAGCATGCGACTTCTGTTTTGGTTAGCACAAACGTGACACAACTTCACAGGGAAGGGATTTAAACGTTGTCACATCTGTGTACTTTAGTCTAGCATTTAATAGCATGTGTATTTAATCACATTACATTGCAGTCGCATTTAATGTAGAGAGATGTCTTGATGACACTTCTAAATAAGTGAATTTTAGGATTCTAGAGTGCTTCCTACAGGAGTCCAGGATAACAATGGCTGCCTGAGTTAAAACTCATTCAAAGTAATACATAACACTTATGATGTTAATTTGAATATTGTAGTATTGTGTGAACTATGTTTATAGAGTCCTTGCAGTTTATGAAAAACACAATCTGGACTTGACGGTGACCACTTTGTACTTAATGGCCTTTTAGAATCTCTCTTGAGGGAAGAATACTGTAAAGTATGGGTAGGGCAAGTCGATGTGGATTGTTCTCATGCCTGCCTGTTTGTAGCACACATGAAATGAGCCACTGAATGATAACCTCAGTTGTGTGGGCTTATCCAAAGTTCCTAGTTTTGAAAATTACCGTCTCTTCCGGTTGCTGTGACCTCTTCATGGAGGATGAGGCAAATTGATGGACTTACAGCATCAGTACTTAGTTTTTGAGGTTGTGAGAGAAAAGGTCTAATTCAGAAAACTGCCTTTTAAAGTCAAAGGGAGGTAACCTGTCGGAGAGACAAGAAAGTTGAAATAACATGTGACAAACTGGGAATTTCTGAAAGGATTGGACATAGCTAGAAACAAAGAAAAATTGACATGGTAAGCAGAGCAAGGAGTTTTTGGAAGCTCAGGTATGAAGCTAGTGAATACTTGGTGACTGTGCTCTATGAACTTGATAAAACTAGATGAATAAAGATGCATACCTGTCAGTTACGCAAGTGTGGCAGGGGGCTTGGTATGAGATAGAAAAAAGGATAAAAGTGAAAGAGGAGGAGGATTGATGTATGTGGAGGTAGAAAGTGGCATGTGATGGTTTTCTTAAATGCCTGGTCTTAATGACAGCTGTGAACATGAAATGGTGACCATCCACTCTATTACCTCTTTATTGCTAGCATGGTGTTCGCTGTTATAAAAGTTAAAGCACGTGAATGGATACTTGCTAGACATGCTGCATTGGTCATTGCTAAATAAATGAATAGTACATATTGCTCGAGATCTTGTGCAAGTGATAGGAGTAATGGAGGGGGCAGAGGCAGTTTGGGCAAGTGTTCTTAGCTCCTGGGACTACCCACCAGGACAAGAAGTCGAAGTGGTGCAGCGTATGGTTGCTGACCCGTTTGAGAGAGGAGAGTAGCAATTTCACCTCTTACTCTTTCAATTCACGGTGACAAAACTTGCCAAGAGTAGGGAATCCCATCTCTTTCCCAGTATGCAGTTGAATGTGCCTTGTCCGGATTGCTGAAGCTTGCCTAAAACATAGCTCTTGGGCAGAGAATGGGAACTTGATATCTCTGCTGCTGTCTCCCTGAAGTGTTCACACCCACATCTCCCACGGAGGGTGGGAAGCTTTCTTTTCAGGGACATTTGAAAAGGAAGCAGTGAACCTTCTTCACTTTTCAGGAATAACTGTAGTACTTGAAAAAGGGAATTCTTGGTCTTCACATCTCTCTTGTGTAACCCTGACTCAGATGCCGGAGCTTTAGAGAACTGGAATTTCAGGCCTGCCTCATGTCTGACACTCTTTCCTCCCTGCAGCTAGGATTTTTGAATCTCATGAAGTGCCTAACTTGTCACTTACCGCAGAAGGCTCAGGCGTAAATTATGGCACTGAAGGCTTAAATTATGACACTGAACTCGGGAGCAGTAAGACTCAACTGCTCATTAAAGATCAGTTCAAGTGAACAAAGTTTGTAGTGTGAGTGATGTTGAAGCCATTTGGAGATGAAACATGGCAGGAAGGGGAAAGATGAAGGTGGTGATTCTGTAGTAGTGATGGCAGTTGTTTCCCTTCCTCTAGCCATGTATCTGTGCTTCTTCCCTTGGGGTGGCTCTGGTGCTGACTGGACTTGTCACTGACTCACTTGAATGCAATAAGGCAGTAGCAAAATGTCTACTTTGTTTTGATGGAGTAGTGCAGTGAAATCGCCAAGCCGATCTTTTAAATGCCAGTGTTGTAGGCTCGGGTGGGGAGGGGTGTAGGTGAACCATTAGCAGCCAGAAATACAGAGTTCAGCCTTAAGAGGCGCAGAGCAATGAATGTTTTTTAAAAGACTTCAGAATGTTTGAAGAGTCTCAAAACGTGCTCTGTTGCTTACTTTACAGGTTACTTTGGGGGCTGGAGCCAAAGATGAGTTACATGTCGTAGAAGCAGAAGCACTGGACTATGAAGGCAACCCTATTAAAGTAATACTGGCATCGCTGAAAATGTCAGTGCAGCCTACGGTAAGGACATGTGCTTGCAAAAAATCTAGCACAGATTGGATCTCGGGTCAGAAAGGCAGATTAGAAAAGCTTGTGGTTGACTAAACAGGTCATAGTTGGCAGGGGTGCAAATGCAAAGAAGAGCTAGGTACAGATACATTTTTTGCACCTGGTAGACCTATTAGTAGTCATTGGAGGCAATTTGGAACTTGAATTCAAATGCATGTATGCATTTGCAAGCAGATGCATCTGTAGCCTGTGTTGCCTCCTTTGAGCCTGGTATGAGAAAATCTAGTTCCATTCTCAGATCCCAAGCTCTCAAGAGACTGTAAAGATGACTGCCACCTTCTCTTGAATTTAAGGTCACGCTAGTGTTCGTTCCTGCCATCAGGAGTGTAACTAAAGAGTTTGACTCAGTGTACCCCACAAAGCTGTGCGAGTGGAAGTGTAAGGTCCAGTGGATATTGTTCAAATCTGCATTGCTACAGGGATATGTAGAAACATGGGTTGGTCTGGCCTATTACCATATGCCATGAGTGTAGTAGACCACTATTGTGGCTCTTTGATAACCCTGAATGGACTCCACGAATGTTTCTGGAATACTCTGTTAGACTGAGGCTTGTTACAAGTTGCGTTAGCCCTGAAATCTCCAAATGTTGGAGCTCTTGGTTTCATTTGAATGCATTGTCTGTTAAGCACACTTTGCCCTTAATATTTGAATAAATTAAAATGCTTTTTTCTTCAGGTTTCATTAGGTGGCTTTGAGATTACACCACCAGTCGTCTTGAGGTTGAAATGTGGTTCAGGGCCTGTTTATGTCAGTGGTCAACATCTTGTAGGTATGTATTTATCTGCTGATTTTTTTCCAAACTGAAGTTCATTGATTTACAAGGTAAAACACCTTTTCGATATGCCTAGAATAAATATGCATATTACAGCTGATAAAACTATTTGGCATGCTTAAGGTGTGAGTGTTGGAAACTGTCCTGCACTAGTGTCTGGAATGCTGTGAGGTAGAGCCTTATGGTCTCACCACCTGTCGGCATGAACGGAACTTCTTAAATGATGTATCCAGTGACAGGAGCGATGCTTTTTCTAATATTGGTCTTCTGAATCTTTACTTCCCTGTCATCAGAGACGTGAGATACCTGGAGGACAAGGGAGTTCAGAGAAATGCTTGCATACCCTTTCTTGTCTCTTGTTTTATGGGAGGAAGGGGACTTTGTCAGCCTTCTAATTTCTAGTTGTAATTTTTCTCCTTAAAAATGAGTGTTAATCCCCCCCCGCCACGAGCTTTTTACTTCATCTGTTGGATTTTGAGAAGACTGCCTGTGAAATATGTTTTCTGTACACAGAGTTGCTTTTGAAGTGAATTTTTTTTTCCTGTTGAGAGGTTCTTTAACATATATCCTTTAAAATGGAGAAAGCTTGGTTCTCATCTTTCCAGGGCTGCTTTTCTGAGAGGGATGTTACACGTAGCATGTGGGTGGCTATTTGTCCATTGTGGATTTAGGTTTTGTAGCATCTGCATAAAGTCAATTGGAAAACCACCTGACCTCCATGGTTAAATTGCTAATAGGAGACTTTCTCATACTTGAATTCCAGTAACTCAAGGGAACCTTACCTTTTTAGCTCTGGGTGATGCTCTTCTCTTGTCTGTCCCTTGCTAGTATCTTATTTTCACTACTGTTAAGGAAACTTTTGGTACGTTCTCTTATTTTACCAGCCTTAGAGGAAGAACCAGAATCAGATGATGAGGAAGATGATACAAAAATTGTGAACACTTCAACAAAGAGACCAGCAAGTGGAGGGGGAGCTAAAACGCCACAGGTATACTTTTTTAACATCAACTTGTCTGCCTTTTTCTTTCGGGTTTGGTATTAATGCCGCTTGGGCATAAGCGGTTACATGGCTTGCAGTGATTTAGATAAAAGAGGGTTTACTGACCTCTGGGGAAAGATTATTCTGTACTTAGGTCTTGGCAAGTGCTTAATTATGCAGATGTAGTTCCTGAGTGCAGATAGCTTCCAGAGCTTTCCTAAAGGCACTGATACAAAAATGGAAGCCTGCTTTTATTGTGGGAAACTGTCTCATAACAGCAGTGGTGGTAGAGTGCGTGCAGTGACTGCACGTGTGCGGATTTTGATACAGTTACATGCGAGAGTCTGAGTGCAGACGAGCACTGCTGTGGAAGGAAGGGTTTGATTGCTTAGATACCATCCACTGTGTGAATGGATTGGCAGCTGTTGACTTGGTGGCTGTTGGTGGAGCGCACAGATGATAACATGAGGTGGATCCCAGCGCTCTCTCTTTCATGCTCGTATTTTGGAAAACAGTGGAACATTTGTATAGAGTCTGATGTGTTAAATTAGTGTCTCTTCAGCGTTAGCCTTAGTTGTAGAAGCAGATAAATGTGGCTTTTCTACACCAGGTGAAATCTTAGTTTTGGCAAACTTGGTTTTTTAGGCTTCTGTGCATACGCAGAGGTGGTATTATCTGTCTTACCTGACTTAACCTGTAACTTCAGATATGCCAGGCCACAGTCAGTTCTTGTGTATTTGTCAGTGTTAATTGATGAAGTGTTAATTTGGCCTTTGTTCAAAAGGCAGAGGAAATTGGGCAAACTCACACCAAAATGGAGACCAGTGAATTGTGTGTGTAATATTTGATTTTTTTTTAGCTATATGGGTGGAAGGCCATCTTGTATGCATGCTACAAACTATTTTGGGTCAAGGTTGCTGTATATGAACAAATGAAGTGATATTGACACTTACCAGACTCTTTTTGTTAGAAAAAAGCAAAATTGTCAGAAGATGATGACGATGATGATGAAGATGAGGATGATGATGATGAGTATGTATTTTTGTTTTGATAGTGTGTTTTGAAATACCATTATAAGGATAATTGTTTCAGAACATGAATTATGTATGACATAACTGGATATTATGCCAGGAAATTCCTTAGCTGCAAAAGTGCAGAATTAGCTCAAGCTTATCCCCACGCTGTAAGCTAAATTGTAACTGTAAGAAATGAGTGGTTTTTTATGTATCTTACATGGAGTGGGATTTAACTTCATGTAGTTCAGTAACTTTAAATAGATTTAGAATTTCTTCTTTAGGGGTAGTTGGGGTTGTGTCAAGCTAAAGTTTCCAAATGCAGTTCTTAAGTCCTAAGATACATGCTTTCAGCCTTAAAATGGAAGGGGTTAGTTACATTTTACTACTTTGCTAGTAAGTGAGGGGATTTGACCTATAATTAGCTTGCTGTCTGTTAAAACAGTCTAGGAGGCAGAGCTGGAAAGCTTACTTGCCTTCCTTCACTAATAAAATTTTATTGCAAAAGCAAGATGAATTTTTAGTGAATAAGGGGATTGGCTATGCCAAGAGTGAGCTGTGGTGAGTGACTGCCTTTTACTTGTAGTGATGAGGATGACTTGGATGAAGATGAGGAAGAAATGAAAACTCCAATAAAGAAAGTAAGTGGCCTATATATTTAACATTTGAACTTAGACACCCTTCATTTGACCCGTGAAGAATTAAAAAGCCTGTTTGATGACCTTGAAAGGTAGTGAGTGATAACACTGGTTAGACATGCTACCTGGGGCTCAGTTTATCCAGGCAGGAAGAGTAAGTGCTAGCACCTCCAATTCTTTAATTGCTTGAGTGATCTTTCTAAGGTAAGACCCCTGGTTGGGGGCGAAGAGGTGCTGGGTTTGCAACAGTGAGATACAGGTCTAGGTTTGACCTCCTGACTCCATCACTGTGCAGGAACTAGTTGAAGTTTCCTGCTCTTTGTGCAGAGTTTTGTTTTCTAGTGGGCTGGATATCTTGAGATTGTGTAAGGGGAGACAGTAATCAGGCAGATAGTTCTTTGATAATGATAATGGCTTTGAGCACTGCTATTTGGAATCTGTGAATGGGATGCTTCTGATTTAGCTTAGTTTTATATGAAGAAAATTGTAATAGGACATTAGAACACTTCAGCGTGTATACACATTTCGATCATATTTACTTCAGTAGAAAGGTGAGGGGTGGCTGGGTGCTCTTTTACTACCTGGGTATATGCATGTGCAATAGTCAGATTCACGTATAGGTGCTGGAGAGCAAACAAAGCCTGCTCAGATAAGTAAGATATGTTGATTGTGTTTTTCCATGTTGATGATTCTGTGTGCTGGTGAAGGTCTTCAGCAATGTAATTTTGAGTCCTTGAGTGCCATCTAGTGGCAAAATAAACTGAAGACAATTTGGCAACTGTAGTAGAGATAGAGGAGGCTGGGAGTAATCTCTTAGTTGCTTACGTTGTCTTGAGTTTATATTTACGTGTCTGCTGTCTAGAAATGAATACTTAATATTGTACTCCACTAAAGGCTATTGTGTCCTAATGCATTTCCGTAGGTCGAAAGTGCACAATAGTTTAAGACCTGTTAAAGCTATTAGCCCCAAGTGCAGATGTCTCACCATGTATTCAAATGTAGTGGGGTTGAATGAAATGCTCTTTTTGATTTATATAGGAATACACGAATCAGTTCTTGAATCTGCATATGGCATTGTCCACGCATTTGCCAGACAGTGCTTCTGCAGGAAATGCTAAAGACCAAGGTTATGATGTTTCAAATAGCTAGCACTGAATTGGATCTTGAACTTGCAGTGTCAACTAGAATTAAAAAGTCATTTGAGTTCTTGTAGCATACATGCTTTTTACTTAAATAGACACATTGATTTACGCTGCTTTGTTCCAGATTAAATAATATGTATTTGTCACCAAGTCTTCATTATTATGTTAATGAACTTCTCATTGGTAACAGTTTTTTTTATGGCAAATGAACTTAAGTGCTTTATTTTCAGCCTGCCCGTGAATCTTCTGGAAAAAATATGCAGAAAGCGAAGCAAAATGGAAAAGATTCTAAGCCGTCCACACCCGCATCTAAATCAAAAGTGAGTGAATGCAAATGAGGTAAAGCTAATGTTAATTCCAGTGTGGACTGTCTTGCATAGTAGTTAGTACATTATTTAAAGTTACTATTAAGTTTTTTGAATGTGTGTAGAAAGCATGATAGGGAGAAGCATGAATGAGTGTCATGTCGTTGCTTAATGTTCTGCTGTGAAGCTCTTTGGTAGTACTCCTCCCTCTATCAAATTTTGGCTGTTCCCAGGCTGTCCCTGGTGATCACTAGCGTCTTTATAATTTTTGCATAGTTGATACATACTCTCACTGTAGTAAAACAGAAGACTCAAGACTGACAAGGGAGTCTGATCCTTGCTGAGGATCAGATCTGAGTTATGTTTCCTGCTACCTGCCTTGTCGCAGCACTGCTAGTTTTGTGCCTTTATGACGACGCAGATCCAGGAGTGTGATCCTTCTGAGAACTTAACAATTTTCATGTTGAACTCCTTTGCAGTTGGGCCAAGCTTCCTTATGCAGCTTTCCCTTGCACGTAGATTAACATATATGCGTGGAAGGTTGCATACAGAAATTAGTGTGGGATGGATGGGAGGATAGCCTCTCAAAAGCAATGTAGAGTTATACCTTGTTTTTTTAAAGCATGACTGGCCTACATGGCAGCAGCTGTGGAACACTGGATTAGACTGATTTGTTTGGGCTATTTTCAGTTTCATTTCTGTTTGGGAAAGAGCTGGGGAAACATCTACCCAGAAGCATCAGATACTTGCTATGCTAACTGTAGTTACGAATTCCAAACTTGGACAAGGTCAAGAACAGAATATTTTTCATAAGTTCTGTGTTGGGAGCACAACTTTTAACTTTTATGACTTTGAAAAGTACCCGATGTATCTGCATAATAGCCTGTTCCTTTATCAGGTGTAAATTCTACTAGGTTTTAAGGTTCTTGTTTCTAGAAAACTTAAATCCTGCAAACCGAGCAGCTTTGTGTATATGCAAGTTTCTAACAAAACATATAATTGTTTCAGACTCCAGATTCCAAGAAAGAAAAATCCCTAACTCCAAAAACACCAAAAGTCCCTCTGTCATTAGAGGAGATTAAAGCAAAAATGCAAGCGTCCATAGATAAGGTGAGTTTTTTTGAAACTGCAGTTTGGTCAGTTTTGATATTTTTTACTTTTGCAGATCAGAAGGATTGGATGTTATTAAGAAATAGTTACACGTCACTGTCCAATTGTCAGACTATATCAGTGTTGAAACTTTGAGAAATACAAACTCTGGGACAAACGGAAACCTCTTTGTTCATGAGATGCCAGCCAAAGGGTCAAGAGAACACCCACCTCAGTGGGGGCTGCTGTGCTGATGTTCTTGGGTATATGTGGCCTTCAAGTTGCACACCTTTCTGCAATGAATTTTCTCTTAAGATTTTTGTTTCTCCAGTAGTGATGGTTACTGATATATTAAGCTAACCGTTTCTACTGAGTTTAAACAAAAAAGCAACAATAAAGCCAGCAAATGTGGGTATAGTGTTTATTCTAGAGGTATCTAAATAGTATACGTGCTTAGGCAGCCAGACTAAAGCAGGCGACTCTTCTTGCCTGGAGTTGGTTGGTCTAAAAGGAGCAACTTTGGGAACTTGTAAGGCTCTGTAACTTCCAGCAGGGGGAGATAAGTGCTTGTGATATCCTTCGTGAATCAATGAAATCCTAAAAGCAGTTGCTTTCTGGATTGGAGATTTGAGGTCAATTCAGTCTCCCTTTGGGTGTTTCGTCTTTTGAAGGTCAAATAATGACCTCTTGGCTTTTGACTGCTGTCAGCTTTAACTGGCATTTCAAGGTTATGTATTATTCTCCTTAGCTACTGCTTAAGTGTCAAAAATTGCATTTTAGTGAAATGCTCTGCATGTGGGCTGGTTGGGTGAAGGTATAGAGGTGGTAGTATTTTTTCTCCCATTAGCCAAGTTTTTGGGTACGTGCATGCTAACTAGGGGTGCAGTTCAATAGATGCACACCTGTACTACAGAACAGCTGGTAATGAGAAGCTGACATTGACACTACATATGTTCTAGAATTTTTTTTACTAATTCAAGACTGCTTGTAGATCAGGTGCCTTTTGGTGATTCAGAGGAGTTTTGGTGACTGAATTGATTCTTTTCTGGAGACTTATTTTTGGATAAACGTAAAGCCTATGTCGATGGCAATTTTATGAGGAGCTCTGGGTTTTTGAATTCAGCCTCAGGTGGCTGTTTCCCCCTTACACCGGCAATTAAGTCTCCTAAAGAGTTAGGATTATCTTGTGCTCTGCTGCTTAATGTTTCAAGACAGTTCTAGCCTATGAAGGCAAAATATGACAGAATGGCTCTAAGGATGTATAGTGAACCTGTGGTATACTTCACCAGGATCAAATTATGTATCCCTGAATTGTGGACCTGACAGCGATGGATGGTAGCATTCTACCTAGGTCAGACTAACCTCTTGGAACAAGTGGATGCTAGGGATGGTTTTGCATGACTCATAAAGGAGCAGTGATTAGCGTTGCCTCTTCGTTGTAAGCAAAAATGACTTAGTTGTTCACAGTAGGCAGAGATGTCCCTGTGGAGGGAAGAATGCAGCATGCAGATGGATAATGAGAATTGGCAAGTGGCTTCAGTAGGATACACTTTCTAGTTGCTGGAAACGGTTTTAACTGGGAAATGCTGTGTAAGCAGAAATATGTAGAAGCAGTGGCAGACAGCTTAATTTAGTGTTTCTGATCGTGCTAGACCGTATCTGGTTGAGGCAAAATGTTTGTGCATTGCCATATACAATAGCTCTTTTAGCTGACAGCCGGCAAGTTAACAGCTTAAAAATTGTGTGAATTGCCAGAGAAAGTGTGATAATATTAAAATGGAACCCCTGTGTTAGGGAGTGAACTTAAGTTGGTGTCAAAAAGCTAATGGAAAAGCATCCATGCTTGTCAGATTCAGGAAGGACGTATACCAAAACGAGCCTTAAAATAGGGCACCGTGAGTGGGAGATTAGTTAAATTTTTCTTTAGAGAGCTGTAGTAGAAAACTTGCTGAAAGACGATGTCTGAAGCGACATACCATGGTAGGAAAGCCATAAATATGGATTTAGTGCTAATTTAACCGAATAGCATATGGGGGGTGACTACAAACAAGGTTAAGCGATGAATGCATGCTATTATGTTTTTTGAGCATGAGCAGAGTTGCTTGTAAAGCCATTTCAGTATGGAGGCCCTCGCTGGTGTGGTAAATATCTGCACACTTGTAGAGAGATGTTTAAAATGGTTTGGTAGCAGACTGGATGTGGCAAGGTGAGTTCAGTAAAATTCCACTTATGTTGCAAAGAATTTAAGCTTCATAAGCTGTTTTATTGGAGTCATTTAATGGCCTGCATACACTAAAGTTTGCTTTTTTCAAAATAGGGTTCTTCCCTTCCTAAGCTGGAACCCAAATTTGCCAACTATGTTAAGAATTGTTTCAGGACGGAGGACCAGAAGGTAACTGAATTTATTGGAGCTTGATAAAATCCAAAAAAACGTTTCTAACCTAACACAGGGATTCTTTTCCACTTCTTAATCTTTACAAGCTTTAGACTGTTTCAAAGGGTTGCAAACCACAAACAATACTTCAAATTAAATAAATGGGAACGGTTTTAAGGGTTTAGTTGGCTAAGATGAGAAAGCTAATATTTTATTACATTTTTCCAGCTTTTATATGGTTGGTAAATTATCTCTTGCTTACTAAACCCACAGAATTTTCCTTTTGGCACCATATTGGCTAAGGAAATGAGCTGTGGTTTTCCTTGCTGCTGAATTTGGCCACCTAGGCTAGTCTGCTGGTTCAGCCTTCTTTTGTTGGGGAGGGTGTCTGGGAGGGGGAACTGTTTTGCAAGTGAAATTACGGCTTTCTTGCCGCTCTTTCTCCCAAAGTCAACTGAACTCTTGTAAGAGGGCAAGCCAAAAGGTGGTATCAGGAAGCAAGTTTCTGAATTAGTTATTACTCAACATGTACTAGGTTAAAATATGTCTTAGATTTCCCTATCAAAATTCCTGTAAGTTAAAGCTTTCTTCCAGTGACAGAATTCCTTATGCTTTCCTGCTTCCTTCAGTGGTTCAGAGTAAACTTGTCTGATAGACAAATTGATAGGTTCTTGAAAGAATGTTTAAAAGCAGCTAGCCTCAGCTACTGGAGTTAGTCTGACATTAGTCAGGGTAGGCAGAGTTCAGCCAATATTTGCCTAGCTGGTCCACACCCATCCTCTCACTTACCTTCACTGAATTCTTATTATTGTGACTTACTGTGAATAACAGTCTTATAACAGAAGGACCTAACGTTGCTTTAAACCTCATTTTCTCTGAAAAAGAATGTATTTTTTTTATTGTGACTTAATGCCAGAGTATTTTGTGGAGTAAATGGAGATAGTAAACTGAAAATAATTGGAAAACTAGATTTCAATTTCTAACTCTTTGTGTACACTTCCAGGTCATTCAAGCTCTCTGGCAGTGGAGACAGACTCTGTAAGAAAAGAAAACAGTTTAAACAGTTCATTAAAATCTGCCGTCTTATTTCTGTAACCATTATTTGGCTGTCCTTTTTACAAATGCCCAGATTACCTTGCCAAGAATGTGTTGTCCAAAATGCCTGTTTAGTTTTTAAAGATGGGACTCCACCCTCAGCTTCATTTTAAGTATGTATGGAATGTTTTGATAAGGCATGGTGGTGGTGGTGGTCAGACAAATGGAAATGGTGGGGAGACTAAATGTACGTGGAAGAAATAAAATTTAGTATTTTAATAAAGTACTATCGTTTCTTTTTTTATGGGTTGGGGTAGTCTGCATACTGAATACAGAAGATAACAGGGCTTGAAAGTTCTCGTAGGAACTACTGCTAAGTATTTTAGCTACTTCTCTTTACCAAGCGCACATTGGATAAAGTCTCATTTATGTTGTCAGCTTTGAAGACAACTTTCCTCCGATTGCATGAGCTTAACAGCTACTGAACAGACGGTTTAGTGAGAAGACTAAGTGGTAAGCTGGGCTGTGTTCTTGTCTGGAAGTGACCACTAATTATGTAATTGCCTAAAACAGCCTTTCCTGCATCGCTGTTTCTGACCCTGCCTAATTGCACTTGGTTTATGGTTTCTTTCTAACAATTGAATCTGTAGGGCTTGTGACTCCACTTGTAAAATGTAATACTTCTGATTTGGGAAATGCTGGCTGTGCTGTTCCTATAAAGGGCTACTGTCTCTGAGGTTGTCTCACTTAATGAATCTTGTAAGGGTTTTGTGGAGAAGAGTGTTAAGCTCTTTGAATGCTGTAGGGTGTGTCTGGAGTGCTCTTAGGCTGAGTGAGATCAATGCCAGTGGATACATTCCTGGGAATGATGGGAAGCTAGTCTCCAGCCTTTCAGGATCGCAAATCCCAAAAGCTCAAGTGGGCAGGTAGCCCGTATTAGTTCCTCAGATCATGTTCAGAGGCACTCCTGGTAATGGTTGCGCATGTTCAACTTATTCCTATAGTTCTTAACTGGGAGCAAAGCATGTGGAAAAAGTGGCTTTCTGTGGGAGATAATTCTTTGATCAAGTTTGACTTGTGGTGACTTGCTAAGTCGGAAGCCTCCTTTAAAGTGTGACTAAGATGACAAAGTGGAGTCAGTAGTGGATTTTTTTTTTTTACTATTGCCTACCAAGGTCATTAAAAGGTTGAGTTAAAACAATCTGCTGGTCCAGTCTCGGTCCTATAAAATAGAAATGCCAAAGTGTAAGGGCATTCTCACGTTGAAAGGAGGAAAGCCTGAATGACATACCTGACATTGCAGACTTTTCCTCGAAGCTCTTACCCAAATGCTGTAGCACTTCAAATGTTTGAATGCTATGGAATGCATAGTAACTGCAGTAATGGTGTGAAGGCAGGAACAATACTTAAAGCATTTAAACCGTATTATAGCAACTATGAGACCCTGATTTAGCCCTCACTGCAGAGTTCAGAATTAATGAACTGACTTCCTTTTTTCACAGCAGAAAATGTTGTTAATGCGGAGGAACCTGAAGGGCTCACATCAATTGGAGTAGTGGTTCAGTGGATGAAAGCGCTGCTCTTTCTGCTCTCTGTTGCCTTCACAACACATTCGCAAAAATCTTTGTGATGCTGCCCTTGCAGCAAGCAAGCTGGGTATTGGGTGTCCTATTTACTGATTTTTCTCTTGGAAGTTGTTTTAGAAGCAAAATGTAATTTGGTTACTGAAACTATATTTTTAGGGTTTCTTATTGTAAAACCTGCAGCGTCTACAGTCAAGATTACAGGCATGATGAAAACGAGTAAAACTCTCCAGAAGCACACCGTTCTTTTGTGGGGGGGGGGGGGGGGGGCGGGGGGGGGGGAGTGTGG